GCCCTTCTCCATCATCTTGGGGCACAGGAACACTGTGTTAGAATAAAAAGTTCTCACAAAACACGAGAGACAGCAAAAGAATAAGAAACCATTCACAAACTTGTGATCTTTTCCTTAGTCACAGCTGAACAGAACATTTTAGAATCCAAGATTTATTATCACTGGAAACAGGGAGCTGTCTCATTTCACCGACACGAGAGGAAAGGTCTTAGTCACAAAGTGCTGTAGAGATCATTTCTATTGTTTCTGTGGTTTCTGGGGTGGTATAAAAGAAGGTGAAAGGCACTCGTCATTGCAGCTGGAACATCACAAGTCTAGCAAGGAGACACATCTGTGCAGATCAGAACTTCACCGTGATCTCTGCAAGATCATCAGTAAGTAGATAATGTTACTTTTGTAACTGGAAGATGCTTTTTAATTAATACATAGTTTACTGTTGATCACAATAGGAAAGTATAGCTTATCTATTATGTATAAGCAGTTCTACATTAGCATAACCTAAAATATACTGCATGTAAATATACACACATCTATATCTATATATATCTGTACTTAATACAGGTATTTTTTAATCAGAACTAATACCCATTTGTTATTTCATATCTAGTTTAATTTGAACATATTGTCCAAGGAAATTACTCACTCATTAGTGCAACAGACTTATTAAGAACAAGCTTAATTTTTACAACTGAATGTATAATTTGCCTTTCTGTCCAGTCATTGACAATTCAATATTCAAGTTCGTATAAAAAAAAAGTCATTTGAGGAGATGCTGAGTTTTTTATTAACCCAAACTGCTTCTGCACAAAAAGAAGTACTTCTTCAAGAAATTAGTAACCTCATTATACAGGAATGTATCTTTACTATTATTACGTAAGTTTAAATGCTGCAACTTTTGTTTTGTTGTTCATCTAGGTTTTGATGTAACAATACAGAATTTGCTAGTAAATAACTAAAGGCACAGGCTGGAGCCAATCCTAGAAGCAGGGTAGTCATTAGTGTAAAAAATGCAGAAATTTTGGTGATAGATCTGGCAATAAAGGGAGTGGTGGGGTTGAAAGGATGGGTAGATAGAGGCATACCAATGCCAGGAGCAGATCTAGAACTGAGTGCAGTTATAACTTAGATGCAAATAATCATTGCACAATTACCTTTTCTAGTTGTCACTTCCCTAAGCCAGAAATCCACTTCTTTACAGAAAAGAACTCCAGTATCAGTCTAATATCATCCTTGTGCAGTGGCAGATTTGGATGTCAGCACTTGTATTGCTCATGGAAAAGGTTGTCTTATTAAAGGTCCAAATCCCAGGGCTGTATACACCTTTTAACTTGATCTGCATGGTCCATCCTTAAACTCTTTTTGGAGTTTTCTGACAGATTTCTTAGGCAGCGATCCTGATCTTTCTGTTAAGTTTCTGCTAAGTTTTTATCAGAAAGGTCTCTTGCCAGTTCTAAATGAAATAATCACCTGTGCTTGCAAATGCACAAGAGTGGGAAGTAGTATATTGAGCGGCAACATTGGAAAAGGAGATTTAGGACTCTTAGCAAGGAAATGTAGAAATATACTATGAAATCTATCCATCTTTTACTGGTATATATCACAAATCCACACATCTGATGTTCTGGGAGGTCCTGGGATGATGTACCATAGTACGATGCTCCATTTTTACCAGTGCTTAAAGGCTAAAATTCATTTTGTCAGGTGAGAGAAAGAACAGAGAAAAAAAGATTTTTGATCACACTGTCAGCTTCTTGTCCTGTGGAGCAGATTTAAAGAAGAGAGAAAATGTTCCTGCCCCAGAGATCTCTGCAGATGGTTACATTTTTGGCAATTCTTTTTTTTGCCTGTTTTGCAACGTGCCAAGACACTGAAACGTAAGCAATATCATCATTTTACTTAGTATCATTAGAAGACTGCTTGCCTTTGATTTAATGGGCTGTATTCTCCACTGCTGTCATTTACTCCATGGCATGATGGAAGGAAAATTCTATAAATTTGATACAGCAACATTTTACGTTGCCATCTATGCTGTATAAAATTAGACCAATTGCATTTTTAGATGTGTAACATATACCACATTTCAGCTGATGCTTTTAAACGCAGTGCAGCAAACCATGTAAGGATGTTCAACGCAAGCCATGGAAATGGCACATACTAAAATTCCATATTTAGGTTCCTGTTCAGATCCAAATCTGCAGTGGGAGCCTATAGCTGCAGTTAGATGTTATCTAACAGCCTGAAATCCAGAAATATTTGCATCCCAGAATTAGCCTGCCCCCCCCCAGCCAATATTTGGCTCAAAATTTTTGCTATATCTGAAGAAAATAAGGCTTTGTTTTCATTTCATGGACACCTCTGATTTCAGTTAAATTACTCCTGACTTACAGCTGTGGAAGGAAGGAAACAAACCCAACAATCCTTGAACACTAAGGTCATGAAAAGTGAATTTTATTTTGGTATTTTAATCTCTGAAAAGAACCCAAATTTGGGAAAGACCAAATCTCTGTGAGAGCTCTTTAAGCCTGCTATGGTCATTTTGTCACTGTCTCCCCAGTTTGCCTTTTTTTTAAAAAAAAAAAAAAAGAGATTCAAGGTATAGCTTTTGGGAATGGCACAGTGTTCAGCTTCCCATCTTCAGGAACTGGCTGCCTGGCTGCCTTACAGGCTCCCTGAGCTAGCCTGCGTGGGAGTGCTCACGCTGTGGGCTTCGCAAGGGTCAGGCTGGCTGTGGGCACCAGCGCTACTAGTCTCGCCTCAGGGCTGTCCTCCACATCATGTGTAGACACCACCAATGCTCCTTCCTCAGCTTAGAGAAGCACTTAAGATTGATGGATGCAAATCAGCCACATTTGAAATAGGAGCTTTGATCCGGCTGTGCTTAGTTCCTAACTCTTTCTTCCCTTGCAGTAAAAGAGCAGTGACGGAGCATCAGCTCATGCATGACAAAGGGAAGGCATTTCAAGGGCTGAAGCGCCTGATGTGGCTCCACAATGCCCTAGGTAGCGTGCACACAGCCAGCAGCAGGGATATTTCGCTTTCGAATGCCATGTGGGATTCGCAGAAGAGCCAAGATCCCTCAGATCTCTACAACAGCATCAGCAGAGACGAGACTTCAAGCCTGATGAAGCAGCTGCTGGAACTGACGGAAAAAGAGCAGGGCTTCCCCCCGTTGAAGCAGCTGGATTTGCTGCAGTATATGAAGACCCCAAAGAGTAACTGGAACCCAGAAGACCTTTTCGACCTCCTTCAAATCAAAGAGCTGGGGAGCAAGAGAAATCCTAGCACCCAGCCACAGAACTATTCCCACTAGTCTCAATCCAGCTCAGCCCATCTATTGCTTTAGACATGTGATGTTGTAAGGAAAAGCTCTAGCGCAATGGTGAACTGCAAAAGAAAAATAATGTTAATTTGTTCCATTAACTGCTCTAGATGTTGAGTAGAGACCCTTGTAAGGACCCAGGTTCTCTCCCTAGCAGGCAGTCCGTGTACTGCGATTGAGAGATGGGGTCATTTGTCACAGGCCAGAAATATCTTTTTCCGTGGCAGGTCCCTCCCTGTCTGTTACTGGTATCTTAGGGCTGTGGCAGCTCTTGTAGCCCACATGTAGCAGGAAGCTTGGTTCATTGGTGCATATTCACAGGCTCACTTGCAGTCTACTGTTTTGACTCCTGAAGAAGCATATCTCCCAATACAGATTCTCTTCTACTTCACACCTGCCTGCATTTCTGCCCTGCTCTGCAGTCCGAAGGGTTTTTTTTTCCTGCTTCTCCAGCATATAGAATGATTTAAGCCTCTCGCCTCTCAGGTCTTCCTTCAGGGTGGCAAACTTTTGCCAGGCCACAGAGGTAGAAGTTGGTAGTGATCCCCACCCCTCCCAGCCAAAGCCGTAGACATTCACCTTGTTCTGCTGGTGGAAGAGATGAGAATCAGCTTCTAGGGTCCCTGTTTGAGCCTTTTGTTTCAAGACTTCCTACCTTTTCTTTGTTCATGTGAAATCCTCTCCAAGAGCTCCCACAGGGCTTAGTTTTCTCAGGAGAAAACCTGCTTCATGAGGGCATCTGTGTTTCCTGAAAGAGGGAGCACATGATTTTGCTATTCACCTTTAGTATCAAACTGACTGGCTCTGTCTAAACAAAACAAGGTCCAGTTTAATTGCAAAATCAGTCTTTCAGAAATTAAATCTCTGTCATGTGTTACAAATATATCAGCATTTCCATCATGTAGGGACTACACATTAAGTCCTGAAATTCCTTGCTGATAGACTTCAACTGCATGTGCAGAAGGGGTTTCTCAGTGATAGATTAAAACCCAAGAACTCCTTGATGTAAATAATAAAAACCTTTTCACCCTCTGAAATTGCCTTGCTTTTTCGTGGAAACGTAAATAAAATGAAGCGAAATCCTCTTTTGCTAGTATCTCCACACATTTGAGTATGGAATCACATTTCTTTCGTTGTGTCATTCCTCAGAGCTCCCTGGTATGATTCCCAAGGCCAGTCAAACCATTACTGAGGTTTCAGATGTTCCTAAAAAGCAGGCAAACATGTTATACTGCCCAAGCAGTGAGTTTGCTGAGTTGGGACATGGGAGCCCTTCACCACCAGGTGACCCAATGTGTGTCACCCGTGTGGGGGCAGGAAAAAAACAACCTTGCCTCCACCGCGGGCTGGACCGTGAGGCGAGGCTAAGAGCTGGGGAGGCGAACGGGACAG